TTGGGGAAAAAGGTGAGGAGTACTAAATTTCGGTAAAACCTCAGGGAGTTTAAATGGCCCGCGGGAGTTTGGCCAAGGTGCAAGTGCAGCAGCCGAAACGCTTGCTGAGAATTGATGGGGAAACGTCGCTACTAGAGAGATGTCCACTCAGATGTCCCATCCCACCGTGCCCAGATGCTGCAATAACAATTCACCCTGGCCTGGGGCAGATGGGCAGAGCCAGGTCTCCATGCCGTGCAGAGGGGCTCCAGGCCATGGTACTATGCGGTCCCTGGCTGAACAGAAAACGTGGCAGACGTTGGCTTTCCCCGGCGCTGGTGCTGGCTGGCCCTGGCTCAGCACTGCAGTTCTGCCCCAGGATGGTGCTGCTCTCCTGGGAACACCAGGCTTGCCCGGGACAAGGGGCAGCCTAGGGGCCCTGAGGCATCAGCAGGAGGGGCAGCGGGAGGAGACCCCATGGGAGGAATGGGGTCTGGGCTGGGCTGCGTGGGGCTCCTTGACTCGCCCTGCCAGACATCGTGGACATCAAGCCAGCCAACATGGAGGAGCTGACGGAGGTGATCACGGCCGCCGAGTTCCACCCGCACCACTGCAACACCTTTGTCTACAGCAGCAGCAAAGGCACCATCCGGCTGTGCGACATGCGCACCTCCGCCCTCTGCGACCGCCACGCCAAGTGTGAGTACAGCCCCGCCGCCGGGAGGGCCGGGACGGGTTCCCCTTTGGGTTAAAAGAGCCCAAAAAAGGGAGCGCAGAGATCAAGCTGGGCTCCGGTCTGCCCTGCCACCGTGCCCCATTCTCCGTCTGGGTGTGCCAGCTCTGGTCCTGCCCGCGCGTTCCCACGGCCACCTGCCCTCAGTGCTACCCGTCCCCAAAAGGAGCAGCTTCCCCCGAGTCCGGCCCTGCACCCTTCTGGGGTGCGCATTAAGAGCCCCGTGGGGAGGTTTCGGCAGCAGCAGGTCCGAGGCATCACTGGGGTGTCGGTGCACAGCGACTGTGGTGCCGCCAATGCCAGAAGACAGGGAGTACTGTGTGTCTTCAGGCTGTTTGTCCAAGTAGCCCCATGTCCTGGTGTCGGCTGTGGTTGATGCCGCGGGGGTCAGGATGTGCAGAAAAGCCCCCTGCAAATGTGGAGGAAGCTGGGCAGGTGGGGAGCTGGTCCTTGGTCTCCCCGGGCTGAGGCAGTGAGTGGCTGCTGCTGAGGCAGGAGCGAAGCCTGGTGCCTGCTCAGCCCGTGCATGTCAGGAGCTCGGTACTGGGAATATTCTCCTGTCAGCAGGTGCTCAGCGAAATTCCGACACAGCGGAAGGAAGGGCTGCGCCGCGGTGTGCCTGGGCAGCTGCACCCCTGCGGCTCCTGTTCCTGGTTGAGTTTGCTTCAGAAAATGGGCAGCGTCTTGTGGGAAATTAGGGGGATTTTCAGTATTTAAAATGGGATCGTGTTATGAGAACAAGATGCACAAAGTGGGAGCAGCTCACTGGAGCCCAGTGCCAATAATCTGCATCCAGAGGGCACCCGGGTGTGTTTTGGATTTAGGTTTCCGAGAGGCAGTTGGGAATTACACACCAGCTGCTGCTTTTGTGCCCTCGAGCTGTGGTTGCAGACTGGTACCTGGTTTTAAACTGAGTAAAACGGGGGGGAGAGGAAAGCTTCGGTCACTGTCCAGCGGTTCGGAAGTACTGAACGGCAGTTTTCCCAAATTCTGAGCAAAACACACCTTTCTATTCTTGCATTTCATGAGCGTGTCTTGCAGTCCTACAGTGACAGCGCCCAGCTGAGAATCAGAATACAATTAAGGAGCGAATAAAATTCATTTTCCTGACACTTCAGTGGCAGAAGCCCCCCCAGCATTCCCTTCGTTCAGGTGCTGCCGCGTCCCTCCGGCACTCGGTGAGCATGCCGGCAGCGGGGCATCCCGGCTCGGTGTGACCTCTCCCGTGACATTTCCTTATTGATTTCCCTCCATCCCTCAGAAGCATCAGCCTCAGTCAGTTGCAGCTCAGCAGATGTGTGAGTCGAAATTGAGACAGTTCATCAAAGTTCAAAATGAAAAGCAACATTGGCTTTTGGAGGCAAACCCTCCAACGGAGGCATTTAATAACTGTCAACATTTAATAAAAACGCAGAAGAGAGCTCTGCACATGCCAGTTTATTTAGATGTGCTGCTCGGCGCCGGCTTTTACTTGTGCGCTTCTCTTATTAAATTCTGTTTGCCCACCGTGTCGGAGGCGGCCGCGATGGTGGCACGTGTGTTACCTCCAGCGCGTGGCCGGGCTGAGCGGGAGCAGCAGCTCCTGTGCGGAGCCGCTCCGCAGGGGTGCCAGGAGCCCTGTGCTGCCACACAGGGAGGGCAGCGGCGCTGTGGGAGGTGCCCACCTGGACACACCGCGCACAACGATACCGCCGGCATTTTCCAAGGCTCCACGAGAAGCCAAAGGGGAGATGGGGATTCCCGGAGCTGCTGGTAATGCCGGCAGAAGTAATCCTGCTCCAAAAAGGATATGGGAAAGTGAGGAAAAACCCTGGTGAGGGTGACTGCAGTTATTTCCCCATAGCAAAAGGCATTGGGCTTTCCACCTTTTTTTTAAGGAGCCATGTGATTGTACCTACCAAATTCCTGAAATGAAAGGCTCAAAGTACAGCCTGTTTCCCACGGGGCACCTTTGCCTGCTTGTCTGTTCACTGCGGACTGCGTTACCGCCACGCTGCCAACCATTTATTCTTTGCTGGAAGCAGGTTCGGCTTTGGTTGGCGAGGAGAAGCACACAAAGCTGCTTTGATAAGGCAAGCGACAGCTGACAGGTTTCACCCACTGATGTTGCAGAAGTGTTTCTGAGACAACCCCCTCAATTGGGGCAGGAACTGCTGCCTTTTGGGCAAGCCCTGGGAGGGAGCCCCAGCCGGACTCTGCGTCGCTGCTGCGCTCCAAGCAGTGGAGAAGCAGCCGGGTGGTGGGAAGGGTGGTGGGCCCCCCCGATCACCCCGCGGGCTGTGCGTCCCTTCTGGGCCATCTTGGGGTTTTGTTTGGTCTGTGTCCCCGTGGAGAGGGTGCTGAGGAAGGCTGCTGGGGACGGGGGGCTGGCGGCCGGAGCCAGCGCAGGGAGGGCAGCTCCTGCTCACTGTCAGGAAAATGGGTTTGTTGTGTAACAGAGAATTAGTGCTCAGAAATCCTTTCCGTGAGCTCAGCAGCCTGGATCTGCTTCTGCAGCAGGAGCAAAGCCACATAAAAGCCTTCAGCTGGGAAGCAAAAATAGCTCCCCGAGCCCCCGTGCTGCCCGGCCGTGTGCTCTGCTGCGCAGACCTGCCGCGTCGCGGGCTGGGTGGCACCACCTGTGTGCTCTGACCCCAGTCCTGGCTGAGCCCCGCCGCTCCCGGCACCAGGACCGGGGCGGC